GCACGGCCATGCCTCTCGCGGAAGCAAAATTGTGCCTCTCGCTAAAGAAAAAAACAGAAAACATATTTTTTTTCTTTTCGAAAGCGAAAGCACAACCGTGCCTCTTGCGGAAGCAAAACCGTGCTTCTCACGAAAGGAAAAAAAACAAAAAATGCGTTTTTTTCCCTTTTCGAAAGAGGAACGCCCGTGCCTCTCGCGAAAGCACAACCGTGCCTCTCGTGGAAGCAAAACCGTGCCTCTCACGAAAGGAAAAAAAAATAGAAAATACGTTTTTTCCGTTTCCAAGAGGCACGGTCGTGCCTCTCACGAAAGCAGAACCGTGCCTCTCGCGAAAAAATGTGTTTTTTTGGGCAAAAATATATATTTTTTGGTCGAAAAGCTAGGGAAGAGCGGTGGAAAACCAAAACGTCAAAAAACTCCAAAAAACCGTTTAAAAAGCCGAAAACGCGTGCGGAAATATAAAAAAGACAAAATCCAGAGGGAGCGCCCAGAGCGCGACACGTGGCGAATGGCTGAGAGCACGCCAAGTGGCGCTAATCGTTGCGAGGCTCCCGAAGGAGCGCTCGTTAATTAGTTGCTCCCCCTCGTTACTTTGTTTTTTTGCTAGAATCAAATCTCGTTGCGTTAATGGTTTGCGCGGCCTGATGGCATTTTGGGGCCCTAAATTTTTTTGCCTGGCCATCGGACGGCGACACTTAGTAGATGCTCGCTTGATGATATTACTCCGCTAACATCTCGTCGTCGCGTCCAATATTATAGGATTACATGCAGTCATGCACCAGCTAATTCACCCAAATGTCCAAAACTACAGAGGGTGATAGACAGTACTGCAACAATAATATGGGATTTCTGGTTTTCGTTAGCTGCGTAACAAACCTAGAAGGAGAAAGTGCCGATTAGAAAAATACGAAAATGTTTGGCCATTCGCATGGAGGCCCACATGTGAGTGAAGAAATCCCGTGACCCCATCCGTCCAGCAGCATCCTCTTTTATTAATAAATGTTCGCTGGACGATACTAATCCCCTAACGTTGCATGCAACCCAATCTAGAAATATCGAAATGTCTATTGTCATTAAAATAAAAGGTTCACTTGGGGGCCCACACGTGAGTGAGTGGACTCATATCCATGGATCTTTTTTTCCCCGCACCACGTTGCTTCTTGTTCCCCATAACAATCGTCTTTTTTTTCAACTAAAAAACAAGCAATCATCTTTTCCACTGCTCAAAAAAAGCAATCGTCTTTTCCGAAAGAAAAAATCGAATTAGTTCCCCACACCCACACTGACAGCACTATAGAATCATATTCCCACCCATTCATAAGCTTTGCTGCTTCCAGATCTCCCGAATTTCTCACAACTCCCACGCATCCGCGCTGCCACGACTTCCCTGGAGCTACCGCCGTCTTCGCCGGAGCCGCCCAGACTCCAGGGCTGCTGCTGCCCCTGTCGTCCCCTGCGCCGGTCAGGCTCTGGGGCTTCTGCTGCTGCCGCTACAGCGCCGGAGCTACTCGGCGTCCACGTGCCGGTGAGGACGAGCCGTGAAGGTGCCCTGTTCCGAGGTTGTTCCAACGAATCAGGTAACTATGGTTGCAAGATTGGATTTTTCTTGTGACTATTCGTTGAAGAATAGATGCAATACACATGCCTTGCTCAGACCATTCTCTTCTTCATCGATTTCTGCAGTGCACTTGTCTTGGTGGAGTTTCTTCCGAGCGTTGTAATGGCGGAGTTGGTGGTCACCATGGCGATCGAGCCATTGGTGTCCAAGCTGTTGGACAAGGCATCCAGCAACCTCCTGGACCAGTACAATGTGATGGAGGGAATGGATGAGCAGCAGAAGACTCTCAAACGCAAGCTTCCGGCCATCCTTGACGTCATCGCCGACGCCGAGGAGCAGGCCACGGCACACAGAAAAGGTGCTAAATTCTGGCTCCAGGAGCTCAAGACGGTGGCCTATGAGGCGAATGAAGTGTTCGATGAATTCAAGTACGAAGCATTCCGCCGTGAAGCAAAGAAAAAGGGCCACTACAAAGAGCTTGGCTTCGATGTGATAAAACTCTCCCCTGCTCACAACCATGTTGCATCCCGTTACAAAATGGGTCGCAAGCTTTGCCTGATTCTACAAGCCATTGAGGTCCTCATAGCAGAGATGCAGGTCTTTGGGTTCAAGTATCAACCGCAGCCGCCGGTGTCCAAGGAGTGGAGGCAGACCGATTATATTATCACCGACCCGCAAGAAATTGCCAGCAAATCTAAAGACAAAGATAAGGCGGAAATTGTTGGTACACTACTTCGTCAAGCTAATAATGCAGATCTCGCAGTGGTTGCCATCGTTGGAATGGGGGGCATTGGTAAGACCATATTAGCACAACTCATATATAATGAACCTGGAATTCAGAAGCATTTCCAGTTGTTGTTGTGGGTATGTATACCTTTGGTGTGAACTCCCTGGCCAAGAGTATAGTTGAAGCATCTCCCAAGAAAAATGATGATACAGACAAACCACCACTAGAGAGACTTCAGAAATTGGTCAGCGGGCAGATGTATCTCCTTGTATTGGATGATGTCTGGAATAGAGAGGTCCATAAGTGGGAAAGGCTGAAGGACCATCTTAAGCATGGTGGCATGGGTAGTGCGGTGCTAACGACAACTCGTGATAAAGGATTTGCTGACATTATGGGTGCAGATACCCACCTTCTCAGTGGTTTGGAGGATAGATTCTTAAGGGAAATTATTGAGGCTGCATCATTCAGTTCCGAAAAAAAAAGCCTCCTGAGCTAGTCAAGATGGTTGATCAGATTGTGAACAGATGTAGTGGCTCTCCTTTAGCTGCAAGTGCACTAGGCTCTATACTTCGTACTAAGACCAGCGTGAAAGAATGGAAGGCTATAGCATTTAGAAGCAGCATTTGCACTGATGAAACTGGAATCTTGCCAATACTCAAGCTTAGCTACAACGACTTGCCATCGCACATGAAGCAGTGCTTTGCTTTTTCTGCTATATTTCCGAAGGATTACAAGATTAATGTGGCGAAGCTGATCCAACTACGAATCGCAAACGACTTTATCTCAGAACACAAGGAAGATAGTCTTGAACCATTGGACAACTTATTTTCGATGAGCTTGCCTCAAGGTCATTCTTCATGGATATAGAGAAAAGTAAAAAAGACTGGGATTATTATTCCAGAAATACATGTAAAATCCATGATCTTATGCATGATATTGCGATGTCTCTTATGGAAAAGGAATGTGTTGTTGCAACTATGAAACCAAGTCAAATCGAGTTGCTTCCAGATACTGCTCGGCATTCATTTTTGTCATGTGAAGAAACAAAAAGTATTTTAAATGATTCTATGAAGAAAGGATCCCCAGCTATCCAAACCCTGATATGCGACAGTTATGTGCAACGCCCATTGCAGCACCTATCAAAATACAACTCTTTGCGTGCCTTGAAGCTTTGGATAAGAACAAAATCATTTCCACTGAAACCAAAGTATCTGCCTCACCTGAGGTACCTTGATCTCTCGTACAGTAATATCAAAGCACTTCCAGAAGATATAAGTATTCTATATAACCTACAAACGTTGGACCTTTCCTACTGCTCTTGTCTTGATCGACTTCCAAGGCAAATGAAGTATATGGTTTCCATCCGTCACCTCTACACTCAAGGATGTCCGGAGTTGAAGAGTATGCTTCCAGAACTTGGAAAACTCACAAAGCTGCAGACGCTCACATGTTTTGTAGCAGCAGTTACTGGCCCTTATTGCAGTGATGTTGGAGAGCTGCATGATTTGAACCTTGGTGGTCAGCTAGAGCTATGTCAGGTAGAGAATGTTACAGAAGCAGAGGCAAAAGTTTCAAATCTTGGAAATAAGAAGGATCTTAGAGAACTTACATTAAGATGGACTTCTATTTGCGAGAGCAAGGTGCTCGACAATTTCGATCCTCGTGATATGCTGCAGGTTCTCATAATAGATTCCTATGGAGGAGAGCGCATGGGTATGTTGCAAAACATGGTCGAGATCCATCTTTTTCATTGTGAAAGATTGCAATTTTTGTTCGGATTTGGTACAATCTTCACTTTTCTAAAATTGAAGGTGCCTATGCTAGAACATCTGTTGGGTTTTGAGGGATGGTGGGAAGTAAATGAGAGGCAAGAACAGACAATATTTCCTGTGCTTGAGAAGTTGTTTATTAGTAATTGTGAAAGTTGGTAACCTGAAGCACCATTGCTGCAAGGAACTTGTGGTGAAGGTGGCTATACATTGGCACACTCAGCGTTTCCTGCCTTAAAGGTTCTCAAAATGAAAAACTTGGAGAGCTTTCAAAGATGGGATGCAGTCGAAGAGAGTAAAGGAGAACATATATTGTTTCCTCAGCTTGAGAAACTATCAATTCAGAAATGCATGAAGCTGATAAATTTACCTGAAGCACCATTGCTTCAAGAACCATGTAGTGGAGGTGGTTATAGATTGCTACGATCAGCCTTTCCTGCCTTAAAGGTGCTCAAAATGAAACGCTTGGAGAGCTTTCAGAGATGGGATGCTGCTGCCGAAGGTGAACAATTTTTTTTTCACAGCTTGAAAAACTATCAGTTCAGAAATGCCCAATGCTAATAGATTTACCCGAGGCACCAAAAATCAGTGTGCTGGAAACTAAAGATTGCAAGCAAGAGATCTTCCATTTTGTGGACAAATATTTGTCTTCACTAACCAATCTGATACTGAAGCTAGAATACACAGAAACAACATTCAGAGGCTGAGTGCACTTCAGTTGTGCCCGTGGACAGCAAGGACAAATGGAACCAGAAATCCCCTATTATAGTTATGAAGTTAATATGTTGCAACTCATTCTTTGGAGCATGTGCACTAGAGCCATGGGACTATTTTGTACACCTTGAAAAGTTGGAATCATCTGGAATATTGGAGGAAATCAAAAGTATCCTGGTAACATTTACCGACTATAAATCTGTATTGGCTCATGATACTGAAAATAGAGTGTTGTGTACACTATTCCAGAGAGAAGTAAAGGACGGGGGAGAGAGCCTCATGGTGAAAGTCGAGAAAGAGCATTACATCCATGAAAAAGATTTGTGGATTGAAAATGAAGAATTTTTCAGTTATTCAATCAAAAAGCACTCGACAAATCTACCGTCAGTAGCTATTGTCTGTAAGTGATTTCTTTCTATAATTTAAGTCTCTAGCTCAGCTTGTTCATTGCCTGTTATTATACTCACTATATTCTTTTGTGTGGTATTATGCAGAATGAAGATTTTTGAATTGAAAAGAGCTGGAGTCTATGGCATTGGGTTCATTGACCCAAATACCGTTAATGAAGAAGAATTGAGAAGGAACCCTAAAGACACTGGGAAAATGCTTTTAAGATTTTTGAAGGCCCTAAAGTACAAACCAGAAATACTTTTACCTTGGAACTTCCAGTGAGTGTTACTGTCTTGTACTACAAATTCTATTTTTTGCTTATATATATATATATATACTCGATGTTAAGTGTAGTTGATGAGTTATGCATGCCCGCTTATACAAATCGTGTGCGTAGCTACCACTGGATCCTTCTAATCATTAGAGTTCATGATGAAACTGTTGAAGCACTGGACTCGCTAAGTAAAGACCCTGAAGATTACATAGCATTCATTGCTCGAAAGACAATTTCAATCATTTATGCACTATGCCGGCTTCTTTATTAGTTCATTTCCTGATATCAAGTAAGTAATAACTCCTTTATTCATTTTGTTTGCCGGGCAGGGTTTGGAAACGTTTCATCAAAGAGGTCACCGGTGAATGGAAACCAGAGTTGAGATGGTGAAATCCCAAGGTAATTAAGTAGTATTAGCTACGTCCGTGCATCTCTTTAATTCTAGTTTCAATTCCATTGTCAGGCTTCATTATTATCTTATTGAATTCTATTCTTGTAAAGTGCATGGGGCAGGCACATGGGACTAATCTATGTGCATATTACGTTTGCGGGAACATTCGCTTTATCACCGAAAGCAGCAAGAGTGCAAGAGATCTTTGGGTACGTAAACACCATTCATATTTTTTTTCATGATCTAAGACATATACACACAACTAACATGCATATTCATATTGATCTCCTTCTTTATATATAGATGACGCAGATGCGGGATCAACTCCTACCAACGGACCGCATACGAGCAATTCCAGAGGAAATTGCGGGATTTTTGCTTCAGCAGGTCATATCTCCCGACGGAAAATACCATTACCCGTTCCGCAAATGATCTGCAAATTGTGCGAGAAATTATATGATATTTGATGATTGCTTGTACGAGAAATTTTATGATATATAATCGGTTCTATGATAAATTTTATTATATATGCATAACGTGTACAATGTATAGTAGCGTAAAATACTTTTGAATTGAAAAAGTATTAAATGAAAAACACAAAATGAAAATAAAAAATAAACAATAAACACTAAACCCCTAAACCTTTAGTCCCCTGCCCTGGCGCGCGCTGCCAACCACGTGGCCAGGGTTTAGTCCCGGTTCGTAGCCAACCGGGACTAAAGGCTTGAACCCTTTAGTCTCTATACTTTAATCCCGGTTGGGCCCTTTCCAACCGGGACTAATGGCATGTTTTCTACTAGTATGTGGTTTCAACATTTGTTAGCGTCGATGGAGATATGACTAGCCGCAATCAAAATTTTGGTCCCCGCTAGTAGGAGGACCACGTCACGGTCCGTGAACGAGGTGGAGTTGAGAAGTACATGCATATGCTTCCTGTCGGGGTGACCCCACCCTCTGAGTCTGAGTCAGGTATCGATAATCCCAAGCTGATAATCCAAAACAATCTTATCTCGTGCTCGTGGATCGTGTTGTTAGGGGAAACACGACCCAGTACATTGGCTGCAATGTCAAGTCACCTAGAGTGACAGCCTGGCGATTGACTAGTCAACCACGGCATCTTCCAAGTTGTGGTACGCATGTGCTACAACAAGTGGGAGGACCATTGTGGTGCTAACAGTGAGTAGACGGAACAGGAAACACAAAATGCAAAAAGACCCTCCCACTTGTCTTTATGGTATAAGTTTTTATAGTATAAGTTTTTTTTCAAGACTTTCATGGATAGCCCCCTTCCTCAAGATACTTCCCTCTTCTTCTCCACCGCGCGTCTCATGTCCTTCTCCACCAAATACACCGCCACTACATACTCCGATCTCCATCCGCCACCACCACCATGGCTGGAAACTCCTTCCGTCGGTCCCCTCCGCCAATCCAAAGCGCAGATACATGCCTCACGCTGCACAACGGATACTCCTCCCGCCCCTCCTCCTCCCTTGGCGGAGTCTTCACCCGCGACGAGCCCGACATCCCAAGGCCGGTGCCATCGCAGAGGAAGTGTGTCGGCATGTGCCAACGGTGGTGCGGAACCTGGGTCACCGAGATAACCGACCGGCACACCCACGAGAAGATTTGGAGGAAGTATAGACGTATCTCGACTCTTATCAGATGGCGAAGCAGGTGGCCTACGCCTATGACCGCGAGTCGAGGCGCTTCCATAGCGCGGATGCACACCTCAACTTCCACGACGGCTGCCCGACGCGCCGGATTTGGGGCCGTCGATCCCCAGGTGGCCACCACACGCCAAATTCGGGAGGACCGCGAGGCACGTTTGCGTCTCAAGAGGGAGTGCGCCGAAGAGGACTACATGTAGTCGCTCTGTCGGAAGTTCCCGCATCGAGTCGAGGACGAGGGCGTCGCGTTATAGGCGTACCAGGCGGCGTGTCGAGGAGCACTGCCGCACGTGAAGATGAGACGCATGAGCCGCACATCAAGGAGGAGTGACGCTATGGGTGATTTCGTGTGGGGCCGTCCGGTGATGATGGGCCCTCTGGTGTGGAGCCGTCTACCGGGCCACCATTCATCGACCTCACCGACCGCAACCACAGTGAGGACTCCGATTTCTACGCCGGAGTTGATTGTAAGGGGCGAGGGCCTAGTGCACCGATAGTGAGTACTCCCTCCATTCCAAAATATAAGTTGTTTTTAGCTTTTTCACTATTGACTACATACAGAGTGAAATTAGTGAATCTATACACTAAATTAAATATGTCTAGATGCATATGAATCTGGGAAAATAGAGAAATGCTAAAACATCTTATATTTAGCAATGGAGGAGTAGTTGAATAGGTTGTACTTTAAAGTATTAGGTCTAGTTTGAACTAGTTTTAGGTAGTATGATCTAGTTTGAATCAAGTTTGTAGTTGTTTAGGAACTTGTTTGAATGAAATTTCAATGAAAAAATATACTCCTCTAAATTATAAGGAGTGCAATTGATGTTAAGCTCCTCCAAATTTTGAGGGATCGGCTAGATATGCCCATAGAGCAAAGTATAGGAAAGAAATAGATGTGTAACAAGTATAATAGAATTGATAGTCAAGTACACAAGCACGAGATAGATTATTGGTGTGAAACAAATTATTGGCTCATGTGGTGAATAAAGTCACAAATACTCCCTCCGTCGGAAAATACTTGTCATTAAAATGGACAAAAAGGGATGCATCTAGAACACTAAAATACATCTAGATACATCCCCTTTTAGTCATTTTGATGACAAGTATTTCAGGATGGAGGGAGTACTACTTAAATCATTAAACAACATAACCATATTACATTAATAATATCTTGAGGTGCCAAGTGCTCATCAGTTCCCTCTCATACATTTTTTTTCTCCAATAGTTGGCAGCTCTTCCGTTCATAGTTGCAAATTTAGTTACCTCAAGCATTTTTTAAGGAGATGTATCCGTTGTTGATCATCCACTCCATACTCCAGTGGTTGCTAACATGCTTGTACGACCAGTAAGCCCATCCAAATGTGGCTTTCCGATACACAGCCATCTGAGCATTTGCACACCGTTGGAAGTCTTCCTTCGAAGCACCCTTTACCTTCCACTCAGCCACCCATTCACCTGTACAAAACAAGACATGCATCAGTTATTCTGGACCTACTTTTCACGTGAAACACTAAAGTTCATGCTGGAACCGTGCATGATCAAACGATGATCTAACTATCACAGACTTACCAACAAAAGTGAGAGGGCCATCTGGCCTTGTCATGGTGCTGAGATCACCGGCGATCTCTTTGTTGACGAAATCGATGTTCTGCTGCACATTGGATTTGTCTAACTTGGGTTCGAAGACCAGGTAGGGATGCCCGTCAAGGACGGTTCTGCTGAACGGTGTGGCAAAATCGACGAGCTCGTCCCAATGCCCTGCAATTCGGTTGGACATGATCACATAGGCCGTAGGCGAGTGCTTCCTAACAGCGTTGTAGCCCTGTTGGTAGTATCTTTTTAAGCTATCTAGGGACACGCCGGGAGCCACTGGCTCATTCATCAACTCCACCGCCAGGAGGCCTGATCTCCTGGCATACCTGTATGTACATCAAATGGGAAGAAGGTTAGCAGGGAGATCGAATTACCCGGCTACTTTGCTTGATCTGAAAACATAAAAACCATATTTTCATAAGTAAAATAATAATAACAGATTGTTAAACAGAGACCTTGCTGCGAGGAAATCAATGACTTGCACTGTTTCCGCAATGTTGGAGTCTCCCCAGGTCCGCGAGCCATCCCTACTACCGCCATGCTCCCAGGGGTTCTGCGCCCCAGGTGCTGCATGTAAGTCTATGATCACGCCAATATTGTGCCTCCTGCTCATACATATTCAACAAAAACATGTAATTTCCCAAAAAGAAGTCCAATAAAAACATTCAATTTTGTTGAAGACTACATATGTATCTATGTACGTACTCTGCCCATGTGAACGCGTTGTCCAAGGCTTGCAAAGAGCCTCCGACGAATGGTGCTGGAGGGTTGGGGTCGCTGGCGATCCACCACCCGACTGGGATCCTCACTGCATTAAGGCCGTTTGCCGCCATGAAAGCGAAGTCGCGTTCCACGATATATGTGCTCCGGTGTTCCTGTCAACCATATATGGAATCAACGAACTTGAAGTACAAGAATGATTGATACTTATCATGTGAGTTAAAGAAAATTCTACATCAAGATCACTTGAACTTTCTGCCACTAATATATAGCTATACGCTGTATCTAGGAAAATTATGGAGAAAATAAAAGAGGTCTTTCAGCATACGTACATTCATGATCTGTGTAGCCGTATCTTTGCCATAGCCATTGCAGATCTGGTACTCCCCTTGCAGCGCCTGCCCGACGATGGTCACCGCAAACACGGAGGGGTCTTCCTCGCCCCATTTCGTGCTCTTGACGAAGTCGGCCGTCACCGAACCATCTTTGTTTGCCTACCGTGCCAGAATTGGAAGATATGTAAATTTGATGATTCTAAGTAGGGTGTTTTTTCTTTCATGAAAGATAACCTTCGATGCAACTCGTGGTTGTAATAGTCATTGTCAATGAAAGAGTAGGTAACTTTGCCACTGATCTGTCATGCAATCAACTACTACTAATGAGTGGAGTATTAAGTTAACTTACCTGTAAGAAGGACCCATTGGGTGCTCTGATCCTCATCTTATTGTTGTCAGCGTCATTGCGCACCAGCTGGAACGTCTCCGACTGCCCCGGCATGGAGGCCGTGGCCACCACATTAACGCCGGCCACGGTCACGAATTGGTTGTTGAACACCTTAAAGTTGAAGGTGTTCTCGTCGATACGCCAGAGCTTGAAGGTCTCCCAGTCGGAGGCCGAGGGCCGATTGGCGACAAGTGCCCCTCCGCCCCCATTCTCGGCTGCCAGAAACCCCTTCTGTGCCATGGACTTGAACTGCACACGCGTGCTATCCTGATCCATCGATCCAAACCGGAAGAAATTAAGCAAGATGGGATAAACATGACATTACAACCAGACGAAGGAAACTACTAGGTGAATTACTTACCAGGAGGTCTTTGTTGGGGATGCCATCGAAGAGGGAGGGCAGCCCCTTGACGATGGTCACCGCAAACACAGAGGGGTCATCGTCACCCCATGTCGTGCTCTCGCCGAAGTTGGCCGTCAATGAACCATCCTTGTTTGCCTGTGCTGCCAGCAATGGAACAGATTGATGACTCGTACTAGTTAGGTTATGTCTAGCCGATCCCTCAAAATTTAGCCACCTTATATGCGTCCTTATACTTTAGAGGAGTATATTTGCTTCTCCAAAAAAAATGTGGTTTCCAACCGGTCACGTATATTTTGCGGATCAAACAATTTATTCAACTTACGCATTTCATCAAACACTTCTATGACATGTGAGTGGCAATTTAATTGCATCTGCACAATGTTCTGAGACAAGACGAGGCATAATTGAAATAGAGATCTCGTCAATCTTTTAAATAGTGGATAATAGCAAATAGAGGCAACCCTCAAAATGGGGCTATAGCGGGCTAAATCGTAGTTAAATGAGGCTATAGCGGAAAATTGTACATGGATTCCTTTGGTGACAACACGTTCAAAAAGTTATAGCGGGCTATTTAAAACTATGGATCTAGTACAAGAC